CGCCGATGTGTTGAAAAACATGTGTCATTGAGCTTTGAGAAATGTCCGGAAAATGCTCGAGTTTTGTTGCGGAGACTGTAAAGCACGCAGCACAAATCCAGCCCTTACATCCTCGATCTACGATTCCCGCTGTTAGAAGTCAAATACACGATCTACCTTAGTCGTTACACCATCGCCCATCATTCCGGCGGGGTTTATATCATGTCATACCACACTTTGCGACCCATTGCGTGGAACATAACCGACTCCCGATAGGCTGTGCCATGAGCATATTACCTCATGCATGGCCGCATCAAAAGGTGGAGTAAACATTGGCAGATACTGCCGGCCTCGGACACTGTTGCGGATGCGTGGGGGCGGGGTGCGGGTGCACGAAGCGGAGTAAGCACAAATTGAATGATATATTAACCCCTATTCCCGCCGTCTCCTCCTTTCCCTCTACTCAACTACTCGCTTCAGCTTTTACACTCCATCATCTAGCAAGCTCAACACCAACAACCGTCCTAAGCATTGTACGATGCCCAGGCAGAAGCAATGGCGCCTGTCGCAGGAAAGATATCTACAAGATCAAGGTAACTTCAGTTAATGAAGCAGCCGGGTGTTCGGCAGCATGCTGTGGCACCCCCCTCTGTCGATGTCTCCCTGCTTAAAATCAGGAAGGAGGGCAGCCGAGGGCGCCACAGCATGTTGCCGTTCTGAGAAATACCGGTCGAACTTGATCTGGATAATACCAGCGAAAGGACATGCTTCTTAGCCTCCCCACCCACCCAAGTGCCAGGCTAGGCACATGTGAGTTGGCTGCTGACTCGATGTAGCGCACGCTTTGATCTGTCAAGATGTCGACTGACAAGATCACCTTCCTGACGAACTGGTACGCATTAGGATTGATTGACAATAGGCAGCTCTCCCGGATTGTGTCCACAATTAACACAGACCCAGGCACGCTACGCCGTACCACGCTCCCCTGTACCTGGCCCAGGCCAAGGGCTACTTCAAGGATGAAGGCATCAAGGTTGCCCTTCTTGAGCCCAATGACCCTAGCGTGAGTATAGGACGACACACTGTCGATACCGTTCCCAAACTGACCCTGTGCCTTAGGATGTGACCGAGATCATTGGCACCGGAAAGGTTGACCTTGGCTTCAAGGCCATGATTCACACCCTTGCGGTACGTTACAGCATATTGCTTTGGGGTGTGCCGAGCAAGCCCACTGACCCCTGAGGCAGGCCAAGGCCCGTGACTTCCCGGTTCTCTCCATCGGCAGTCTCCTCGACGAGCCCTTCACCGGAGTGGTGTACCTCAAGTCGTCGGGCATCACGACCGACTTCCGCACGCTCAAGGGCAAGCGCATCGGCTACGTGGGCGAATTCGGCAAGATCCAGATCGATGAGCTGACGTCGCACTACGGCATGTCGCCGTCCGACTACACGGCCATCCGCTGCGGCATGAACGTGTCCAAGGCCATCATCGAGGGTAGCATCGACGCCGGCATCGGCCTCGAGAACGTGCAGATGGTCGAGCTCGAGGAGTGGCTGGCCGCCCAGGGCCGGCCCAAGACCGACGTGCAGATGCTGCGCATCGACGAGCTGGCCGAGCTCGGCTGCTGCTGCTTCTGCTCCATCCTGTACATCGGCAACGAGAGGTTCATCGCCGAGAACCCAGACAAGGTGCGCGCCTTCCTGCGCGCCGTCAAGCGCGCCACCGACTTTGTCCTGGCCCAGCCCGAGCAGGCCTGGGCCGAGTACGTCGACTTCAAGCCCGTCATGGGCTCGGCGCTGAACCGCAAGATCTTTGAGCGCAGCTTTGCCTACTTCTCGCGCGACCTGAAGAATGTCAAGCGCGACTGGGAGAAGGTCACCAAGTATGGAAAGCGTCTTGGCGTGCTGGATGCGTCCTTCGAGCCAAACTACACTAACGAGTTCCTCGAGTGGACGCTGGAGGCTGACTCCAAGGACCCGACTGGTGACCAGAAGCGGATGGCTGCCCTGCAGAAGGATATCGCTCAGGTTGGCGGCTTCCAGCGCCTCGAGAGCAAGGTTGCGGCTTAACGAGGGAAGTTTTAAGCTCACGGCTCGGCGGTTTAAGAGGACGTCGTTCATGCCCAACTATTGTCGTTCATGCCCAACTATTGTCGTTCATTAGGAGCAGATATGTCTTGTGATATGGAACACTCGCCTATCCCTTTTGAGGCTCCCACCTGCAGTGCTTGCTTGAGGTGGCTGGACTAGGATACTTAGGACAGCTAAATACATGCCGGTTCACTGTTCAAGAATTGATGGCTCTCGTGGCTTTAGCTGTAAGGATAGGTGCTCTGTCCGTCTACCTTGAGTTGGGTACAACAGTTCTCGCTTTTAGTGTTTCTAAGAGGCCTTGAACTATTTAAATGGCATGCCCTTACGCGTGATGTGTTAGCCAACTTTAACGTAGATGTAGCCGATACCAGTTCTTGGAAATCCCTTGGACCGCCCCAGTGGAAGACAAAGTATGGTCCACAGATCATAGTAAAATGTTACTTGTTAGGTAGTCACCTAATCTTCTGTAGTTATAAGATAGCTAGGTACTGTGAGAGACGAGGGACATTTGGGCGAGGCGCGAGGGCACTGCCGATGAGACTCTATTTCTGCTAATCGCAAGATGGGGAGAAAAGGAAGAGAAGCTGGAAGAGCTCGCGATACAGGAGTTAAATGCCAGCGCGTGTGGTCACGTGCCCAACCAAGTGGAGCCACAGTGCACTCCGACGGCAGCTGCCGTCACAGGTACCAACTTCGCGCCCCTTCGGGAACTCGATCAACCTGCAGTGGGTACCAGCGGAAACCGACTTCGCGTTGGGACTAGAAGCCAAAGCGGCAGCCCAAGGAGCGACAAGAGAGGGGCGCACGCCCGAGTCCCAATGGCATCACGCCAAGTCGACGGCAATTAGGGCAGCAATGGCCAAGCAACGAAAGAGAAGGGTTATTCCGGAAGAAGTGGGCAAGTTCTCCAAAGCTATAGAGGCGGCACTACCAGGAAAGCACACCCGCGTTCTCTACGACAAGCTGAAGCGAAGAGAGGCCTGCATTCTGGCGCAACTCCGAACCGGAATGGCAAGGCTGAACGGTTTCCTGCACAGAATCGGGGCCACCGAATCTGACCTCTGTGCCTGTGGACATGCGAGCGAAACAGTGGGACACTTTCTACTACGATGCACCAAGTGGACAGCTCTAAGAGACGATATGCTGCAATGCTCAGCGACAAGACGAGGGAGTCTCTCTAGGCAGTCCGAGCAACAATCAAATATGCAATGGCGACAGGAAGGTTGGAACAGAACGTGGAGGAGAGAATGGAGCAATCACAGTAGAAGGACTCGACCAACAACACCACGCAGCCTCAACCAGCAGGTCCCGCTTTAGCTGCTGAAGTTAGGATGCTGAACACTTGGAGAACGTAGCCTCCAAGCTGATCTGCTAACAATCAAGGCGAGAGGCATAGGGTGTGGCGAGAAAGGGGAGAGAGTAATGGGCTTGTACGAGTTAGAGGCTAAAGTGACTTCGATACGGATGTAGTTAGGTAGCGTGCTTAGGCCCTATAGGCTTAGTGCCTCCGGGCGAAATAAATCCCATCCATCCATCCATCACCATCATTACAAAACAAGAACCCCCAAAAGGCCCACGGCAAGAGCGGCAGCCGTTACCCGGACCGAGTTGGCGCTGAGTCCGGCCGCGGCGTTGCCGCATACATCGGTAGCGCTGGCGAGTCGGGTTTTTTCCGCGCCGCCGGTGATGGCCACCTGGAAACGATGCAGGTCGGTTCCACTGAGAACCGTCGCAAACGTGGCAGCATTCGAAGTACCGTCCATGGTGAGGCCGACGGTATAGTCGCACCTGGCCTTGGTGGTACCGGTGAGGTCACAGGACTCGGCGAAGCTCACTTGCGCATCGTGGCCAAGGGTCCTTGTTGCCGTAACGTATGTGAGCTTGTATACCGAAGGAGCTTGAGTGACGGTCAAAATCTACGTAGATACCTAGTTAGCTTGATGCCATTGGGCCGTAACGAGATCGAGGCTACGGACCGGAGCATCCGGGCCACACGTTTCAATTCCAATCGAGTCATCTTTGGCGCTGGTACATTGGAGGGCGTAGACGGTTTGGTCCTTGCAGACGCTTGCAATTGAAGCAGCGTAGATGCCCTGGCCATTAAGGGAGTCGTCATGGAATAGTTCGACGCTGTTGCCAGAAGTTGTGCTGTTGTCTCTGATAGCCAAACTGTCGGCGAAGCTTGCCAGAGTGGTGGCAGCCGCAGCCGCGATGGTGAAAGCACGCATGATTTCGAACGATGGAAGAAACACTAAGGAAACAAAAATGACTGTTTTCGTGCCGAAAAGGGGAAAATTGGGATTTCCCTCAAGATAATGTGAACATACTTTATATTCCCCATTGCCCTATGATTATTTATTTTTATTTTCCTTGTGAGCTCGGTTCATTGACTCCGCGGTCTGCCCGGCGTGAGTCCCAAGCGTGGTATTCTTCTTGGCCTTTGGAGCGTGCCTGGCTTGAACCTGGCTAGCCTGCTGAGCACAAGATCCTTGCAGCTCTTCTCCTGTCCTGCATGTTCTTATTGGGTCTCATCCGATCGAGAATTGTGCTGCCAAGCAAGCCAAGCCACAGCCAGGACCCAGAAAGGATACATGGAGAAGCACCTTGCATAAATTTCATTTTGTGGCTGCCAAAATGTGGCAGGGCAGTGCCGCAGTTTGAGGCGCCCGAAAGGGAGGAGTTATGTTGGAAAGCCAACAGCTACGAAATGACTGAACCAAGGTGATTTGGGTGCCAAAAGGTGATGAAAGAGGGGCAACCAGTTCATTGATGATCATATTTGTGTCTCTGTGTCTCTGTCCTGTTCCCACTGCCGCGGGCCTCGCCCAGACCCTGAAAATACTAATGCCCAGCCACTAGTGAACCTCTGAATTGCCCCTCCTCACCGCCTTCCAAATCCAACAAGTTAGGGCTGAGACAGTCCAGTCACGTGATCAGCACGTGATCAGCACTGTTGCCTAGAACCGCTGCCAGTGTGACTCCTTCAAAAGGCGTCGAAGCAACCGAGCCAAACCGTCCTGCATCCATCCACATTCCTTGAATCACAACATTTAACAGATAACTCATCCTTCCCCTTTTCACTTTCTCACATCTTTAAATCAGCATGGCGTCTACATCTACATCGAAATCACCCCTCGATGATCTCGCGCCTTTGCTCGAGTCTCTCGCACTTAGCAGCTCTGGCCCCTTGCCACAGTACGGCCCGAAGCGCGTCATTGAATTAGAGGGCAGCCCGGAGCCCGCCATTGATTCCAACCCGTATCTGGGACACGATCCAGACCCAAAACAGGGCCATAGACCCAATTTGGACCAGGGCCGATGCGCTCGGTGCAAGTCACCTCAAGCCTTCGACCGAAACCTACGTGAAGTCCCCTGCTGTGGGGCGAATATCTGCAACCCGTGTGAGGACAGAGGTTTGAATGAGAAATTGCAAAACGATATCTGGAGACATCATGATTCGCACCAATGGGTGGGATGTCTTGCCAACGCGTGTCAAATGCTCAGCGCACCCCAGGATTTTGATACCCTCGGATCCCAACTGGAAGTCCCCTCTTGTCTTTCTCCTCAGCAGATGCTCCGAAATGCGGAACGAGCTCGGGAAGCCCTGAAGAGCATTGCCCCCCGACCCTCCCGTCACGAATGGAGGCTCGCCCAGCGCTTACACAAGGCCCTGGTCGAGCACAAACTCATACCGGATTGGTCAAAAGCACACTTTGCCGTTCAATCGGCACCATTATTCCCCGTCAGGTCTGGCTTCCTCACGCAGCTCGTGCCTATCATCACGTGCATGCTGAAGACCGAGCCCAAAACCTGTGCCAGCTGTTCCACCGCATTTCGGACGGTGGACACCAGCAATGAAGCTGCATGGGGGTACATGGCCACCACATTCCCTGGCGATTGGACTTGGATGGTGCTGGGCCGCCCGTCGGCAGAAGTTTTGCCTGGATGTGCGGGCAAGCACTCGCTCGACATCTGTCCCGCTTGCCTTCCCAAGTGGATGGTTTCGGGGCTAGGGTTTGTCGATGGCATGTCGGGAAGCGGCAATTACCGCTTCGCTTGCCCCATGTGCAAGCTCATCTTGCCCCCGGTCCAAGTGGACAAGATTGCCCGGCTCATTGACCCCAGCCGGGCCCCAACGCCAGCACATTCGTTGGGTCCCCCAGGCAAGCCAACGGGTTTGTTTGCGGGAGGTCTTGGTGGCAGCGGCGGGGGCGAGTGGTCGTCCAAGGTGGCGGCGGATCCCGAAGCCGCCGCCCGCAAGGAGTCGCTGACTGGCGCCATCGTCGCCAAGAAGCCCAACGTGCGCTGGGGCGATGTCGCTGGACTAACATCAGCGAAGCACGAGCTCCAGCGGGCCGTCATCTTCCCGGCGAGGTTCCCCAACCTCTATGACGACAAGCGCAAGCCCCCCAGCGCCATCCTCCTCTACGGACCCCCGGGCACGGGCAAGAGCTACCTCGCCAAAGCCGTAGCCACTGAAGCAGACCACACCTTCTTCAGTATCAGCCCGGGGGACGTAGTCTCGAAATGGGTCGGCGAGAGCGAGAAGTAAGTTAACCCTTCCCTTTCCATCCCCTTCCCTCTCCCCAAACCCAGACCCCACCAACCAACCAACCAACCTCCCGACCCTAACCCCCCCATCACCAGACTCATCCGGGAACTCTTCACCCTCGCCCGCGAAAACAAGCCCTCGCTGATCTTCATCGACGAGATCGACGCCCTCTGCTCCAGCCGCGAAGACTCCAGCGGCGGCAACTCCAGCTCCAGCAGCGGAAGCGAGCACTCGGCGCGCATGAAGACGGAACTGCTGGTTCAGCTCGACGGCCTGCCCAACGGCGGCGGCGACAACGGCGGCGTGGTCGTCCTCGCCGCCACCAACCTGCCCTGGGCGCTCGACCCGGCCTTCCGGCGGCGCTTCGCCCCGCGCGTGCACATCCCCCTGCCGGACCGTGCGGCGAGAAGGCGGCTGTTTGAGGTACATGCCGGTGGGGGGAGGTGGGAGGGGGTGTTGGCTGCTGCTGGCGAGGAGGTGGTGGATCGGCTGGCGGAGATGACGGAGGGGTTTTCGGGGAGCGATGTCGCGCAGGCGGTGGGGAGGGCGTTGGCGGCGCCGTTGGAAAGGGTGCAGCGGGCGGAATGGTTTCGTGTCGTGGAGAGGGCGGAGGACGGGGAGGGTATGTATACGCCATGTGCGGAGGGGGAGGAGGGAGCTGTGGCGATGACGTGGGAGGGCGTGCCGATGAATCGGTTGCGGGAGCCGGCGGTGACGGAGGAGGATTTTGTGAGCGTGTTGAGGGACCGGAAGGTGAAGGCTTCGGTCGGGGTGGGTGAGTTGCAGAGGTATGAGGACTGGACGAAGCAGTTTGGTGTTGAGGGGAGCGACTGATTGATTGTTGGGTGTCTCGAGCGTGCGGTGATTGGCGGAGCGGGAGAGATGATGCAGAATGAAGGGGTGGTTCGGCATGCACCCCGCCTCCGCCATATTGCAGTTATGGCAAGGCTGAGTTGTGAGGCACATAGACATCAATTAAATAGCACCATTTTCCAACCGTCCCAGCTGTGTATGTGTGCTCCTTTGCTTTCATCTACTAAACAATCCTGTAAGAGGCCGCAAGCCTTTTCGTCATGCGTCTTCTACGTACCGATAAGCTCGAGGTGATCGAGTATCAGGGGCAAGACATCCCACCGTATGCAACTTTATCCCACACCTGGGCTGGAGGAGGTCTCGCTGCAAGACGTCCAGCAGGGATTGGCGAAGTCGCGTCTTGGGTAATTATAATAAATTGCCAGAGCGTGTGCTGTGGCAATCAAGGATGCATTCGAATACATTGTAAGTACTCCATTGTTCTGAGTCTTGAACCCAAATACTTGCAGACTCTAACAACCCCCACGTGGATCGATACCTGTTGCATCGACAAATCGAGCTCGGCTGAGCTCTCCGAAGCCATCAATTCCATGTTCAAATGGTACGGTGGGCTGAAGTGTGCTACGCATTCCTTAGCGACGTGTGGGCGGCCGAGGATCCCCGCAAACTGAGGAGTGACTTCAGAATGTCCCGCTGGTTTGAACGCGGTTGGACGCTACAGGAACTCATCGCTCCCGGTGTCGTTCACTTTTACGACAGGTACTGGAACTTCATTGGATGCAGGGAGAAGCTGCTTGATGTCATCGTCCAGGTCACCAAAATCAGCCCGACCTACTTTGCGACCGGCGACCTTTCGCAATTCTCGGCCGCACAAAAGTTGTCCTGGGCCGCCCGTCGCAATACCACCCGGCCCGAATATATCGTATATTGCCTGCTCGAGTTGTTCGACATCAACATGCCACTGCTGTACGGCGAGGGTGAACGGGCATTCCAGCGGCTGCAAGAGGAGATCTTACGGCAGTCCGAGGATGACTCCCTTTTTTGTCACGACGGCACCGAGATGTTGGCTATTTCGCCCCTCTACTTTCTCGACGCTAGCAAGGTGTTGAAAGGGGAAACCTGGCCGTACAAGAACAATCCGGGACTCGTACTCGACAGGAACCTGTCCCTTAATCGAAAGCGGATCAGTATATCATTTCCGGTCGCCCAAGTCTTACCACACGAGTTTTTTCAAATTCTACGCCCTCAATCCGACCCTCCCACCGCAAAGGTTTCTAGGATTGCAGCCACAAAATAGCGTTCACCTCGCCCTCCTCAGCTGCGGTATGTCAGAATCGGCTTCCGTCTTGGTCTTGCGCGAAGGTCCCCCCGGCGTGTTTGTCAAACAGGGTGTGCCCTGCAGCCCCATCGCGCAGGCAGCGTCGGACCCGAAGTTGGCAGAACGATTTGTCACCAATCCGTCTACAGGAACTTGGAGTTGGAAGGCTAGGAATCACGCATTCGCGGCGGAAAGGATGCTCGGGGGCCAAATGCAAGTGCACTTCCAAAATCAGGAGCCCATAATGACGCCCATTATCAGGCCCGCCATCTCGTACAACCGGTCAGATAGGGGGTTGGCGGGTGCGTTGAGTGCCCCCCTAAATGATGCGCTGGACAAGTTTTGGGACAAAGTCGTCGTCAGAGGGCCTTGTCGGGATACGGCTGGTTTCCAATGCCAGTTCGTCCATGTAGATGGTTTCTTGCTCTCCAGGGTAGAGCACGGGGATGAAATCCACTTCATCCCGTACGACGGGGGAGCCAGGGGGCAGTTATGGCTTATCTTTTCCAGTTCAACGGAAGAGTCGTTTATGGTCACCCTCAAGCCGACGAGGGCGTCGGCCAATGCGCAGCTGTGTATGAATATCCATGAGTGGAAGGGGAAGCTAACTATCGAGTATATTTACGGTTTTGAAAAGCAAAGCGAGACTGGCAACAAACTCTCTTGCTACACAGAACCACAGCGCCTCAGCAGCGAGAACGATGCCCCGAGTCCGAGTCCAACTCGACAGCCGAAGACAGATGAATGGCTGGTGGGTCTATATTACGGTTACCCCGATCTCCGAAAGCAATAAAGGCAGCACGTAGGAATGGAAATTGGATCATTCGTCCAGCCCGTTGCTCAATGTACCATGGCTTTCCAACAAGTACTCGGTTCCTCGATATCTGACTACCTAGCTTTATATATGAAACCCAATATAGTATGTAGCTAGATGAGAACCATATACTAAATTTGCAAATAGCTTAATTTGAAGTGCATATCCCGAGTTCGTACAGGCTTACAACAATGTTAAATTGGGCTGGAATAGACCCAAACAGAACCACGTGCGTAGGCGTTCCGAGCGCCCTCCTATTTCCTCACGACTTTGTCAAATGGCATTATTCAATGTGCCCTTCCCCTACAGGTGATCGTTTTTCAAAGCAAGATGGAGACTAACCCAATCTTGGATCACAAACCCCCTATTCACCTTGACCTGGACTTTGACCACGCTCCCCTGCTTAAATCTTCCGATAAACCCGCCACCGCCCCCTCTTCCGGAGCACGAGCCATCCACAGGAAGCACACACCCCCCGGTAGCAAGAAGGGCCGAGTTTCACGGCTGCCCTCAACAACGGGCACGTCACGGCTGTTGGCGAGGAGGGGCCGCCAGGACGGCCCATATCCCGCCAGGAGGGCGGGGACGGGGGGCATCGCGTTTCACTGCGTTCCTGGCCGCGGTGTCACGGTTTCGGGCGCCGGTTTCTCTCTCTCCTGGGATCCTGGTGCTGAAGTGTGGTCTGGTTGGTTGGTTGGTAACCTGTACCCCCCTTGTACATGGGGACTCGTTCCGCCATCGCCATTCAACAAGGCGCCATCCCGCCGCGGACCTCCACACCGGCGGACGGAATCTATTGCGTCGGTTACCAGTGCGGCGAGCATCGCGGACATCAACATCGAGGAAACCAAGACTAAGACGGGAATGAGCATCGACGATATCGCAGCGTTCATCCAAGAGCCGGACCCATCAGACGGTAAGTGGCGGTGTCTCTAAGAGGGATGTAATAAGCCGTTTGGCCGTAAGGGTAATATCAGGAGCCACGTCCAGACACACTGGAACGACAGGTAGTATCAGTGCCCAACCTGCAAGGAGTGCTTCGTCCGGCAGCACGACCTCAAAGACCAGTGTATAAAAGGCCCCTCCAGACGATGAATGGAAGGGCGTCGGGGTGTGAGGTATCTGATTTAAGTTAGTGGGATGTTGGATGTTGGGTGATAAACGTATGTTGGGTCTCGGGGGTGTGGTGGCTTGCGACTGAGTGAGGATTGCTGGCTGGTGGTTTTGCGCTATGCTGGGGTGCTGCAGAGCGTGGTATTTCTGTGCAGCTACAGAGCCTCTCGTATTAAGTGATAAGTGACAAGCCTAGGTAATTACCTAGGTATTCGACCCTACCCAAGTTTAGCTGTGATTTTGGGGTTGTGATTCTGCTTCGTAACCTTTGGCTGCGCATTTTGCCCAAAAGGCTTTCATACAGAGGCAGGGACAGTCCGCCATATCAAAAGCTTTTATTTACAGATCCCGTATAAAAGGGGTCGACATGTGAGTACCCATGCTGCCGCCCTTTTGGTTATCTGCTGCTAGAGTACGGTTTTTGAGCATCATGTCTCTCGAGTTGGAATGGCCCATATAGGAGAAGGTTAACCAAGCCAGATGTTGGGTCTTACATCGTTTTCACAGGCAGGTAGCGTCATTCGAGTTTTCTATGTCGAGAACATGTCTTGTCACTTGTGTACCCTACTTGAAACCAAGCCATCGAAGAAAATTCGAGCTCTTCAGTCACGGAATATGCCTTAAAACCAGGCGATATCAGACTTAGTCAGTTATAAATGTCTTCTGCTACTAGATCTTCGTCGCCATGCCGTATCTCGCCCCGCTCTCTAATATCTTGTGCGGGAGGTAGACTCCACGGAGGTTGAGTATCCCACACCCAGCCGCCAACAAGCGATGGGTCGTCGTGGGTCCAATAGAACGCGCCGGATTCAATACTTACGGCGCAGTAGAAACCACCCGGATGGCGGCGTTCGTGTGACCCATTGATCTTCCACACCGGCGTACCGGAGAAGAATTCCCGGTTCCGCTTAGGAAGGAGTCCACCTATCAACGTAAGGTTCACGATCGGCCAGTAACTTTGGCATCTTCTGAATCCTTGCGAGAGAAAGCGATAGAGGGCGTAACGGAGAGTCACGCCGTTGCTTCCATTTGTTCGTGGGATGATCCAGCAGTCAATTTTGCAGGCGGCATCCTTGATTTCGTCTCGGGTTTTGGCGCGGAACTGAAGCATAAGAAGCCATTCCCCATCAAAGCAAAAGATTTGAGGGCACTGGTACTTGTGGGCATATCTGTGTTGGCCATTAGAGTGAGTACTGCGCAGGGGTTGCTTCGGTGTTCCTGACCCTCGCAGCTCCCTGGAAGATTTACTTGCGTCGGCTTCAGATCGTTATTCACCCAGTCGTCAGGGATAATGAGGCAGAATAAAGTCTGGTAAGTTGGGTAATAGTGAGTTTGGTGAAGTGGCCGCTATGTTTGCGCTGCCCTTGGGTACGGGACTGTACAACGACTCGCTTACTCACACCATGGAAAGTTGGGCCTCAAGCGTAAACGCTCCATTTGTAAGAATGGAAACGAAAGTTATCCGATACAACCATACCTTAGACATATGTCACGGCACCAAGCCTGACCTGCTTGGGTCACGTGGGCAGCACGTGCCCACGCGACCTGGACCCACACTAGCAGCAGGATCTCCTCTCCGTTAGCGTCCCCTTGCGAGAGCTTCCTCTCTCCTCATCGCACAACTCAGTCATTAGCCAGAACCTGACCCTGTCCCGCGACTCCCCTGACCCCGCCCCGTGACAACATATTATTTTTACCTGATTTACTTCACCTTTACTTGTTTCTATTATTTGGGTCCTTTTTCTCAATCCCCTTTCATTATTGCGTTTCTAATTCCTTGCACATGACCTTGTTTTCCTTTGGAGTCCGGCTCCCTTTTTTTGGCCAAAAGGTGCCTACGGTGTCTCGGTGTGTGTGCAACGGCGGGCTTGGGCAGCGTTGGGTTTTGTGGGGTCGGCATCGAAAGATCAAAATCCAAATTATCCGATTGGCCAAGTGGGCATCCAGTCATTGGGTCATTTCAATTAGGTTCCACAAGGAGCCGAAGATCCACCTTTGTTTTGACTTCAAGTCGCGCTCTGCGCCATCTCAGCGGAGCTTCTCAGGCCCTTGCGGCTTACGGAGTCTACCACGGCGACATGAAGCTGGATAACTTTCACCTCGTTGGGGGCCCAGCCAGCCGAGTGATGGCGATTGACTTGGAGAACGCCGAGGAAGTTGAGAATGAGCAGCTCAGGTGGGAATCCTGGATTGAGTCCGACGCACGATTTTTACTCGGCATCTATCGTAGACACCAGCAAGCCCTCGTCGAAGATGGCTTGGTACCCAGAGAAGCGTATCCCAATCTTGAGGAGTTGGGTGCACCCGACTTCTCATGTTTCCACATTGCACGAGAGCGCAAGCTCTCTGAGTAAAGTTCCAACCTTATTTTTCCTCAAGAAATAATGATAATCAACTTGCGGGGCCCAGTACCAAACCACAAGAAACAGCTCGAGAGGTGGATGGAGGAGGCAATGAGAAGGGAGTGGATTCGAAGATGGGAGAGTGAGGTAGCTAGGGTGGTCGCTAGGGACCCGGGGCGGGCCCTCGAACCGGCCGATGCGACCGCGCGGTTTGACGCCTCTGTTATGAACCGGCACCGGTCGAGGGATCCAGCCTGGGAGCTATCCAAGGCGAGGAGTACCCTCCTAGTGCAAGCGAGGACTGGGAAGATTGGGCTTCGAGGGTTCCTCTTTACTAGGAGGGTCCCCGAGCTGGTAACGCCGGTATGCCGCTGCGGTATGGCGCGCGAGACATTCGAACACCTCGTACTCGAATGCAACGGAGCCGCAGATAAACCTCAGCCCTGGCCAGACGACGGCGCAGAGCTACTAGAGTGGCTAGGTAACGTGGAGAAGGCTGCCATAGTGGTGGGGTGGGTACTTGGGCTGGGGAGGCTGAACGAGTTCCGGCTGGCGGTAGCGCTGGAAAATGAGGACAACAACGAGGAGGCCCGCGGCGGGGCCGAAGCGGAGTAGCAGAGGGGCACCGATGGAACAGAGGTCGCAACTTGTTTTATCTATTTTGTTACTTTGACCTCAGAAGGTGGGTGAGCCCTTTCGAGGAGATGGATCCACGGGGTAGCGGCGAGGCCGCAGCGGAGGTGCGGAGGTTTTCATCCAGCTTAGGCATGGTTTTTCCTACTGAGTTAATCCGCCGCCCTCCCCAGTCGCAGCACGCTAACCCTCTTTGCTCCAGCCCCTCAACTTCGCCACCCGCCGAGAACCCACCCCCGGCGGGAGTAACAACAACGGTGGTAACGACGACGGCGGGATTCCCGCATCCTACGCGGCGTCCCACCCCTCCAGCCTGCCGCCCCCCGCCAAGAGCTGCCTCAAGACACCCGGGCAGCAGCAGCCGCCTACCGGGCGCGTAACGCGCAGCCACAGCCGCCACCGCAGGGTGACCTTTGCGGACGACGACCGCTGCCTGGTCACGGGGGCCCCCTTCACGCCGCACCCGCGGAACCGGCGCGAGTGGCGGGCGGCGCGCCGAGGAGAGGCGCCAGAAGCGGATGGAGACTGCTGCGGAGCGCGCGGCGGAAGCGGAGGAGGGATCGTCTTCTTTGTCTGGTGTGGAGGGTGGGTCCACTTTGGGAAAGGGAGGGGATGAGCCGGCTGATGTGGGCCGTGCTGCGGAAGGGGAGGAGCACGGAGGCGCTCGGTACGCCTGCGCACGGGGTGATGTCGGCGGAGAAGAAGTGCCAGCCCGGCCTAGCGAAGGCGGGGCAGGAAAGTTGCCCTCGGTCCGCAGAGCAAGCGGAGGAGGCCCGCCAGGCGGAACGTCGGAAGCGGCTGCGGCTGGCGATCGAGAAAGGGAGGGAAAGGCAGCGCCAGCGGGACAAGGAGAAACCACCGTGAGTCCCTTTAGGCGATGATTTGTTTGCGCAGCATCACTTGGAGTTTTAGGCATCCTTGGGTCTTCATGTTTGTATTGGAAATAGCGTGCTTGAATGGCTGATATCGGGAATCTTGTTTCTGATACCGCTCCTTATCCCTGACTTATCTGTCCCTTCTCTTAATGGATGCAATCCAAAATCCCCTGTCATCGTACCCAAATTTTCTGATGCTGTTGTTGTAATTAGGCCGGCTTTCGGATTGACTGGTTCTGCACCGGCCGGATGATTGCTAGCACGTAGTCTCGCCTGTAGGTACGCCGGACCATGTCTGTGATTTTCCAGCTGTTAGTAACGCCGGTATCTGCTGCTGTTTATCAATTGATGCCTCCTTGCAGTGCCATACTCGTTGGACGTCTTTAATGCGTGCAGCTCCTGTTGTCGGATGGGGGGTGTTGATAGGGAACAAACACTATTCGAAACGTTCATTAAAGGTACAATTGTAAAAGGAACAACAAAAGGACATTGGAGAAAGATGGCGGCAGCTAGGAAAAATGACAGCCAAAAAGCTCGCCGTCAAGCGCCATTTGCCGGTCAAATGGAGGTTGACGGTTACGAAAACCCGAGGGTTTTGCGCCGCGCGGTGGAATCGAACCGCTCCTCTTTCGATTGGTGTCCAACCGGTCCTCCTCACAATGCCGCTGAGCTAAACCGTTGTTTGACTTCAATTGTGAGGAGGCGGTGACAGTGTGCGTGCGGGAACTTGTATGTATAGCACTGGCGGGAGGTGGCAGGAAGGAAGGGACGGAAGGCATGCCCCACTGTCGCGGCCTCATGGCCCATGGGCCAGCATCCCCCTCGGCCCTCCGGTTATTTCCCAAGGCTTTGGAAGGGTTGTCTTTGCATCCTCTATCCCAATCGAAGCCCTTTTGTGCTCCAGACTTAACAAATTGTCACGAATATGGTCGCATGCAGACGACCCGGCGGGGCACGCTGGTAGTGCCCCAAGCCAATCAGCAAAGAAGGGCCTCCTGCCATGGGAACCGGATCGTGAGCTGCAGACGCGATCCAGGGGTGACCAATCAGGAATGGATCATTGGATCGAGGAACGATCTAATGATCCAGGACGGATCGCAGGATCATGGAAGTATTCTTCGATCCAGGTACGGAGGTACCCAGGACTTAGTATATAGTCACTCGTTGTGGAGAGCTCTGGGAGTTCTCCAGTTAGCAATCACAACTACAGTTCGCTACAAGCTCGGAAGCCTACTGTTGAGACAAGCCTTTGTTGTGCACCTTTTGGCTGCACCGAACCTAAGCACCCTTGAGAGATTACCTTCAACCGAAGCTGAACCCTAACAGGACAGGGTCCTGAAGTAGGTTCGTCACACAAATGATAACCCAACTTTTGGCAACCCACGCTGGGCAGGACTAAGCGAGTCACACGGTCAACCCTATGGCTACCAGAGCAAGGTTCCGTCGGGAACAACGTCCAGGGTACCGGAACCGGCTTGGCCACCGCTTCAAGCTACCCTCAGAACAAGTTCATGTGTGGAACGTTGGCCGTTTCTGTCGGGATCCATGGACACGTTGCGTTTAAACCAACCGTTTCTCACCGTCCAACACGGCAGGAGAGGATACCAATCCTAAGCGTACGAGGATTAGAATGAAGTGGAGGGCAGCAATTGGTGACCCGAGTATAATATTATGGTAGTACATTCCCTCTAAACAAACAATACAGCATCCACACATCAAAGCAATGTCCAGAGACGCTCACGATCTCGCTAATTCATCGTCATCAGTTCAACAATTGAGTCCACCGACCCAAACGCCGCCCTCAAGCCCACATCCACCGACCTCCTATACCGCAACAACAAGACCATCCCGCCCGCCAGAACCGGCAGCCCGAACAGCCCCACGAACCCCCGCACCAGCATCTTGCCCTGGTGCTCGCTCTTGGCCACAACCTCGGAGTAGCGCTCATTCCCAAACGAAACGCGGGCGTACTTGGTCTGCCAGCCGAGGGAGGGGACATACTTGGACAGGGCCTCCTCGAGGAACTTGCGCAGGCGGTAGACGGGCGACAGCACTGACGCGCGCATCTCGACGTAGTTCTGCAGGGCTAGGTCGTTGATGGCGTGGGCGTCGGGCACGCGCACCGCCGTGTACTCGGCGAGGGCGTGCTCGCGCGAGACGGCCCGGTCCGCGCACGCGCTGAGCTCGTCCATGCGCGCGTGCTTGTCGAGGATGTCGAAGAGGATGCGCACGTCCTCGAGTCCCGCGTTCATCCCCTGCCCATAGAAGGGCACCATGGCGTGCGCCGCGTCGCCGAGGATGACGACCGAGGAGCCGTAGTGGTGGGGTTTGCATTTGATGCTGATGAGCGGGAGGTGCGGGTTGCGGTGGAAGGAGTCGATAAGCTCAGTTGGGGGGATGAGAGTGGTCACGCCGGGGAAATACTTGTCGAAGAAGGGTGGGACGAGCGAGCCGGTGCGGTCGGATTCTAGATGTTCGTACAGCGTGGCCGGGGCAAAGAGCGTGCAGGTGAAAGACCCATCCTGCGAACATTAGCCTGGTTTACTCATGGCGGTGAGAAGCAGAACCTGGAAACATACATCGCTGGGAATGGCAATGAACATGAACTCCTTGCCGGGCCAGATGTGGAGATGGTTGGGGGATATCGAAAACTTGGAATCCAAAGGGGCGTCGGGCACGACAGTTTTGGGCTGGATCTGGAACTCGCACCACATGGTGTCGATATAGACCTGCTCGTAATCCATACGAGTGTACTTCATCATATGGTACCTGACAGCGGAATGGGCGCCATCGGTCCCGATCATGAGGTCGAATTTAACCTCGATCTCCCGGCTCTGTTGCCCTTGAGCTGCGCCGGTCTTATCCCTCACTTCGAACCAGGCCTTGTTTTTCCGAAAGTCTGCCCCTGTGAGTTTGTGGTTGAAGAAAAAAGTCACGTTCGGCATCGCCTCCAAAATGTCGAGGAGCCGCTCGTTGAGACGGCCACGGTCGACGGCGAGGATGGACTGAGACGTCAATTACCGCCAATGAAACAGTGGAGCTGCAAGACTCTACTTACCCGCCCATATACATCGTAATTCTGGGATTCTTCAAAGAGATCGCCGTTTGCACGTTTGCCATGAATCATACGGCCGTGCATGGGGATGGTGGCCCCCATCACATGTTCGATGAGCTTTGGTTGGCCAGCATGGCGCATGGCGTTGATGCCGCGCTCCGACAGAGCCAAGTTAATGGATTTAGTGAAGTTCAATGGTGTCGTCGTCGGATCCCGGAGATCTGGCCATGTTGTTAACCGATGATTTCCAACAAAAAAGGGAGCCACCACCCGATTGAGCAACACCAATGGATTGAGAAAAAGACTCACCACTGCGAAGCTCGTAGATTTCAACATCGTCACCCCTATTGGCAGCATACAATGCCGCAAGTGACCCAACCGGCCCGGCACCAACCACCACAACTTTTTGCTTCTTTTCCATTGTGATTTTACTTGATGTTGAAAGGTGAAAATCAGCAAGTGTTTGAATTCCGGTTGGTTCCAGGTCTCTGAGACTCAAGGGTCCTGAGGCACAGTTCGTCACGAGTGGGCCGATTCTAGCCAGCGCCGGCTAGGACCGGGTTTGGTCCACTTCTGGGCCCGTTGTCGGTTCAGCCTCAGCAGCAAGCCACACCGTGCTCGCTTTTGACGGTTTCAGCCACACGCCGCAGCCCAAAAATGTTGTGATGTGCCGCCAACATGCGCCGCCCCGTTACACCTCCTCCATGTTGCCTGGCGAGTTATCTTTCTCTTTTCACGGATTGTGATACGGTCTGGCTTTTGGTTCCCAGACCGCGCACGGAATCTCAAGCTTTTTTTGCACGCAATCTCGAACCATCCCCGACCATTATTACCCCGCGTTAACCCCCCATCGACACACCACCATGGCCGAAGAACCCCCGACAAAGAGGAAGTGCCTCGGGGTTGACTGCGAAAACGAGGCGAGCTCCCTACAGTGCCCGAAGTGTCTCAGTATCGGCGTCAAGGACAGCTTTTTCTGCTCCCAAGACTGCTTCAAGAAAAATTGGGTACGCAAGAACTCGAGCCGCTAACCAAGACCTTTTAATTGACCTCTTCACTCCTAGGCCACGCACAAGAAGACACATGCGCAAGAGAACAGTATTTTGAGCCACATCTTTACCCCTAAAGTCGTATCTGAACCAGATCCAGAAACCGGCTACTACAACCCGTTCCCGACCTTCAACTTCACCGGACCCCTGCGGCCGGTTTACCCCCTCTCCGAGAAGCGCGAAGTGCCCAAGTCGATACCGCACCCCGATTATGCCGAGGATGGCATCCCCAAGCTTGGGCGATCAATCGTCCGGTCCAACAAGTTTCAGCAACTCGACGCCAAGGCCCAGGACGGCATGCGCAAGGTCTGCCGGCTGGCAAGAGAGGTGTTGGACATTGCGGCTGCCGCGATCCGGCCAGGCATTACGACGGACGAGATCGACGAGATTGTACACAAGGCTTGCGTGGAGCGAAACGTGAGCACAGCCGGATACGTCTCCGCGGGAACTGGGGCTAACCTCTGGACAGTCTTACCCGTCACCCCTGAACTACAACCACTTCCCCAAGTCCGTCTGTACTTCCGTGAACGAGGTCATCTGCCACGGGATACCTGACAAGCGCATTTTGCTCGATGGGGACATTGTCAACCTGGACGTCACGCTGTACCACGAAGGCTACCACGGCGACCTAAACGAGACGTACTACGTTGGCGATCGAGCGAAGGCTGATCCCGACACAGTCCGCGTTACAGAGACGGCGCGAGAGTGTCTTGAAGAAGCCATCAAGCTGGTAAAGCCGGGGACACTGATCCGTGAGTTCGGCAACGTCATCGAGGCCCACGCCAAGTCCAAGAACTGCAGCGTCATCCGCACCTATGTCGGTCATGGCATCAACAGCATCTTCCACTGCCCGCCCAACATCCCACATTACGCCAAGAACAAGGCTGTTGGCGAATGCAAGCCAGGCATGACCTTCACCATCGAGCCCATGATTGCGCTGGGCAAGTACAGGGATGTCACCTGGCCGGACAACTGGACAAGCACGACAGTTGACGGGAAGAAGACGGCGCAGTTTGGTAAGGAGCCCCTGATATTGCTATCGGACCATAACCTAACGTCAATACAGAGCACACCCTTCTAGTGACGGAGACAGGCGTGGAAATCTTGACAGCACGGAAGGAAGATTCTCCTGGCGGACCGATCCCTATGCCAGTACCGGCTGCTAACGGCACAACCGCTGGTGATAGTTAGGGAAGCCTAGAATTACTTATAATATAATTGCGGGCCAGTGTTGCAGTTTACAGCAAGATCTTTGTCTTTCCTGTCGCCGGCGCATTCCGATGATAAACTGCCTGGTGTTTTAGTCACCCTTTCCTCCACGGGATCGGCTCTTGTCTCAATTCCATTCTTAAGTGTATCTTTTCTAAAAGATGAATGCAATGGAGGCATCTATTCCTGGTGCCTGGGCGCCTGCAGGGCATCGTCCACCTGGCTATTTGTTACGGGACTAGTTTGAAGGCTGGTTGGTGGGATGGGACGGAATGGCCATCTTGAACAACGATATCGCTCTGTGCGTACATACAAAGTGGGGGCTCCTTTATAAGAAAGAATGCCAGAAGTTACTTACGCCTTCGGGCAACAGCGTTGATTTTCCAAATCGGTAGAGCGACGCGTTTTCTAGCGAGAGGCTCCCGTTCAACAGCGTTTTTTTCTTTCTTTTTTCCCCCCTTTTTAATTGAACATTTCTTTCGTATGTACTACATAAATTCCCGGTGAAGTGAACCCACCCTTCGCCAGCCTGCATGCCGGGCAAGCGATGGCAAGCTTGGACCACTTGATAACCAAGCTCCAGCCGCGCCCCACTTCCATCATTTTTAGCACCGCCTGCCAACCACCAACCACGCGCAGCAAGCTTAAGAATCCTATCCACAGCCTTCCACGTACGTGTGTTGAGCTTCTTCATCCCTTCATCAACACACACCAGCGATCAAAACCCTGTCCTTTGCCTCCGGTACAGCTTCTGCTTGGACCAATAACACCATAACTTGCTGCAAAGTGTTCAAACTCCCAAGCCTATCCGCCGCGCAACGACCGTGACAAGCTCGCGCCATTCAACGTCGTCATCGTTTGCGCAGATCTCCAACTTCTGCCGCCGCGCACCAGGGTTTACCAACCCGTGTCACGTCTTCTCCAGCTTCAAATACAAACCGAGGGATAACTCGAGCGAGCCGCCAAAATGTCGGGCGAGGCGTGGCTATACTTGTTTGCCGTCATCATAAATGCGGTCAACCTCTTCCTTCAGGTGTTCTTCACCATCATGTACAGCGATCTGGAATGGTACGGAATCCTCGGAAGAAAGCAAGCAATGGTGTCATGTTACAGGTGGTGGTGTGCGCGGTGGCCAGCAACAATCCTCGGGCATTCTGCTGCGCCGCGGCACCGCTGCCTGCGCTCTGCTCTGCTCATACACTGTGATGCTAACACATTTGTGCTCGTAGCGACTACATCAACCCCATCGACCTCTGCAACCGTCTCAACACGTACATCATCCCCGAAGTCGCCGTCCACGGATTCCTGACGTTTTTGTTTTTGATCAATGGATACTGGCTTCCGCTTATCCTCAACCTGCCGCTCCTCGGATACAACGTCAAGAAGTGCGTATACTCTCGATATGGGGAATATCTTTTGAACCTCGTGCTGACCAAACCAAGGATTGTTGACAACACGCATCTTCTGGACGCGACCGAGATCTTCAGAAAGCTGAATGTGCACAAAAAGGTAAATGACGGATCATGGTTTTCTGCGGCGACATGGAACTAACGAATTGCTCCCAGGAATCCTTCACCAAGCTCGGTTTCCACCTTGTCCTGTTCTTCTTCTATCTGTACAGCATGATCGTCGCCCTAATCAAGGACGAGGCCCACTAGGCGTCCTCGTAACTTGTTTTGTTCATCCAAGACATTTCTCTGTAACCATGGTCTCAGGGAGATTCTGGCATGTCGGCAACGGAACAATGCACCGGCTTCGAGAGCGGCGAGTCCGCATCAATCAACATAGACGGAACCTTGGCGGCACGGGGTGTTGGTAATGGTGGGTCGGACATGGATACGATATACATGACGGCGGACGAAGAATATGGTGACGGGACGTAATAGAACGACTTGTATCTGGCTTTCGGTGGTGGATGGGGTTTGACACTGGAGTTCGCATAATACCTCGTTCACGTCATGACTCCGCGAGGGACGTCATGACTTGGGAGCTCCCGGCCCGTCGGCTAGCGCAAGGAAAGGACATGATACCGCGGGCTCGTTTTCTGTTTCTTCTGGATTGGCGCAGTCATGGCCGGATTTCTCTGTGGCGTTGGCTGTGGGGCTTTCCAACATCGCTGTACTATACACCAGACGATGGGATGATCTGGGGTTGTTTATGTTTATGTGTAGTAAGAATCGCTTGTTGATTGCTTTTGTTTCTTGAGCTCCCGGTATCGCGTCATCTCAACTACCGTCTCCCTGTGGCGATCACTGTGTATGACTCGAAACAAACCAGCCTGGAACTCAATCTTGCAGGATACACAAACTCCAGCCAAAGAGCTCCTGAGTAGGTATATGGCCCGTGCGCGGCCTCCCCAGCAAAAAAGAAGCTGTGTCGGCACTTATCTTATCTCGACTCGTCCGCAATCCATCCTCAACCCGTCAACCATTCTAAACAGCTTGAAGCCACCTCACGCGCCGCATCGCAATTCCTGCCCCAAATAACCCACAAAACCACCTACCCCCCATCGACAACGACGCGAATCCCACCCAACCAAGATGACCGACTTCGGCGACTACCCCCCCCAACCTAACCGTCAAAGACGCCCTCATCATCCGCGAGTCTCAAGGCCCCGACCACGCCGTCGTCCCGTACACAGGCGCCGACCTCTCTCGCGCGCGCCTCGGGCCCGCGAACCCCTTCCGCAACGACTCTTCCTCTGCCTCCTCCGCGCTCGTCCCCACAGACCCCCATCATCCACAACAACAAAAGAAGCGCAAGAATGTCCTCACCGGCCACGCCGAAGAGACCTTCATCTCGGAACACACGTTCCGCGCCAAGCACCGCGCCGTTGAGCGCGCGGGTGCCGGGGGCCCGCAGCGCGAGGGCATGTCGAATCGGGAGCAGAAGGACCTGCATCGGCGGCTGAGGATGGGGCGGGAGGGGAAGGGCGATGCGACCGTGGCGGATGGGGATGGGGCCTATGTGGGGCCGTGGGCGCGGTATACGAGAGAGCGGTATGAGGAGGTGGAGGTGGGGGACGACGAGGAGTTGGGGAGTGGGGAGGAGTATGAGATTGTGGAGGCGGAGGATGAGGAAGAGGAGGTGGTGCCGAGCGGGACGCTGGTGCAGGCGCCTGCGCCGTCGCTGGCGAGGAGGAGAGAGGCTGAGGAGCTGGGCGAGGAGACGACTGCTTTTCTGGGGGAGAGTGAGCATGATTATTTGGGCCGCACGTATATGCATGTTCCGCAGGACTTGGATATTTCGTTGACGAAGGAGGTGGGGAGTGTGACCAACTTCATCCCGAAGAAGTTGGTGTATACGTGGAAACCCCATGGCAAGCCGGTTACATCGCTGCAGCTGTTCCCACGGTCGAGTCACTTGGGGTTGTCGGGCGCGGCGGATGGGATGATCAAGATCTGGGACGTGTACCGAAGGAAGGAGGTCCTGCGGTCGTTTGTGGGGCACAACAAGGCTGTTACGGACTTGTCGTTCAACAACGACGGGACAAGATTTCTATCTGGTGGGTTTGACAGGAGGATCCGGCTGTGGGATACCGAGACGGGACAATGTGTCAACCGCTTCAACTGTGGCAAGACACCACACGTCATCAAGTTCAACCCCTCGGCAGAAAACGGGCACGAATTCCTGGCGGGCCTTTCAGACAACAGGATCTTGCAGTACGATAGCCGTACGGGCAACGAAACGGTCCAGGAGTACGACCACCATTTGGGCGCCATCAACACCATCGAGTTTATCGACGAAAACCGCCGTTTTATGTCGACGTCCGACGACCGCTCGCTCCGGGTATGGGAATACGGCATTCCCGTCGAGATCAAGACTATCAGGTTCGTTCATACCACTTCCTTTCAGGCATTTTCCATTACTGACCCCTTCCAGCGAACCCGACATGTTTGCCCTCACAAAATCCACCCAGCACCCCAGCGGCAAGTACGTTCTCTACCAGTGCAGCGACAACTCGATCGTTGCCTACTCGATCGGCTCCGACAAGTTCCGGCAGCACCGCAAGAAGGCATGGCGCGGCCACAATACTGCCGGCAGCGGCATCGGGCTCACCTGCAGTCCTGATGGGCAATTCGTCGCGTCAGGCGACACAGGGGGCAGCGTCTGTTTCTGGGACTTCAAGACGTGTAAGATGTACGGAAAGATTACGGTCGATGGGTCGGGCGGATCGGTCAACTGTGTGGCCTGGTCGGAGCAAGAGACCAGCAAGGTGTTCACAGCTGGGGCGAAGGGGGAGATCAAGTTGTGGGATTGAGCGTATGGAATACATGGAGTTTGGGCGATATATAGATTCAGGTTTGCAGATCGTACCTCTTTGGCTCACGGTCAGGTTGCGTTCTTTATGGTGGTTGGCAGCACGCTAATCGAATGTTCTGTCAACATGGCAGAGAGATATCCCAAAACAACCTGCCTGCAAAGGCACATCGCTGAGTTTTCATCACCCTTGCCGCGCTGTCGTCTACCGCTCAACACCCTCCGTCTCACCAATCCTAAAAACATACTTCACCCCACTCGCCTTCCCCTCCTTCAACCATCTCAGCCCAGTCTGCACACCCCCCAGCCCCCCCGGGACCACCTCACTCCTCTGCGGCTTGAACCACCCCTCCTGCAACCCCCGCGCAAAATACCGATAATACACATACCCAAAGTCCTCCGCCCCATTATGCACATCCCCCACCAGCGTGATACTCTTGTCCACCCCCTCCGGCAACCCCTCCTTCTCCCCGCCCAACACGAACGTCACCCTCGCATCCACCACCTCCCCCCCTTTCTTCCTCCCCACCCTCCTCAACACCTCCGCCACGTTCTCAATACTCCCCCCCTCCGCCACCGCATCCAGCACATGCGCCACCGCCAACCCCCTGCTCTGCAGCGCCTCCACCAGCCCGCTCACCACGGCCTCGTCGCCCCCGCGGTAGTCGATCACGGCGTCGCCGCGCGCGGGGTCCAGAAGGCTGGAGACGTAAGCGCTGGCGCGCCCCGCCACGCAGAGCAGCGGGTGGATGTTGCTGCGCTGGGCGAGCTGGATGGCGAAGGTGCCGACGGCGGTGGCGGCGCCGTAGATTATGAGGGGGGTTGGTGAAAGGGGGTGTTGGGGAGGGGGACCAGGGCTGGGGGAGGTGCAGGCGTAGGTAGAGGGCTACGGCGGCGGTCATGGCGGCGAGGGCGATCGTGGCCGGCTTTTGTGTGTGCGGGGGGGGGTTAGTTTGTTTTGGTAGGGCTAGGGGAAAGGGGGTTGGGTGAAAAAGGGGGGGCGGGGGAAACGGACCTTCGAAGGTGGTGGATGCGGGGATGTGGAAGGTGGTGTGCTGCCAGGCGATGGCGTACTCGGCGTAGCTGCCTCCGGGCGTTCGCATCTCGTGAAAGGCCGCCACGCGGTCGCCTGGCTTGAACTCGAAGACATTGGCACCAACCTTTTCGACGATGCCGGCGATGTCATCGCCTTGGTTGAAGGAGTTGTCGAAGATGTCGGGGAGCTTCCAGTCCTTGGGGTTGCAGCCCGAGACGATCACTTTGATGAGGACCTGGTCGTCGTTGGGTGTCGGGACGGGGGAGTCCACGATTTGGACTATGGTCCCTGGAGGTGTGTCAGGTAGGGGTTGGCTTGGTAGTGGTGAAGGGGGGGAGCTGACCTTTGCTAACGAGTGCTTCTTTCATCTTGTTGTTTCTTTACACGTTTCTCTCCAATAGCGGCAGCAATTCTAAGGATCGTTTGTCAAAGTGAGTGGCAAGAGACTGGCAATAAAATCTCATACGTGACCAGCAAACAAGGTTGAGGCAATTGTGGAGGCATCCATAGAAGCCCACATCCTCACCCATATATGACGCCATCCGTTGCCAAGTTCCCAAGACACCACGGTTTCTTCACCCTCCTTTCCACAACACATATTACGACGCTGCTCGCGAATCTGGCCAAGATAGGGACTCTTTCCCACCAACCGGAACATCCAGAACCGAGAAGGGTTCCATTAGGATCCCGATATGCACCTCTGCCGAGTTCCGTACCTCCGATGCAACCCGGGTTGTGGTCCGCATTCTGCATGTGGCATCGACTGAGTGTGCAGGTCGGCGCCATGCATTAGTGCCGGGAAGTTGATCCGAATTTGGGAAATGGATTGAGCCGCTCGGGGCTATATCTGAGTACCATGGGACCGGGCTCGGCTGAACCCAGTGGCTTAGAGAACCAGGCTTTAAGGACACTTCAAGCACCCGGTAGGATATGTATACCTCAACTGCTTAAAAAGCAAACAGGATCACAAAAGGACGAATGCACAACTGGTCCCCAAATCAAGTCGAATTGTACACTTGTCGAGAAAGCTACCAATCAATAACTCCGTCACCAAGAACTCCAAGGCTGATAACCCCGACAAGAAAGGAACTCGTTAACACATCGCCACCCCCACCCATCACAGACCCAGTTGACTGTCTGGTATTACCCAACCCAGTCACCCCCCACCATCGCAGCACCTACTCACACACCCAGTCCCTCCAACAGCTTAAAAACCAAGCAGACCATTCCACGCCTGGGCCGTGGACGCATCCCTGGTGCCCAAAGCCTGGATCTGGGCCTGGGCGTCTTCACAAATGTCCTTGGCGGCCTGGTTGGCATCGCAGATGTTGGTCAGCTCGTCGCAGATGCGGTTGGTAATGATGTTGGGGTTGAGGGCCTCCTGCTGGTTGGCGGCGATCTGCGGGTCGTTGGACTGGAAGGTGAATTCGGTGGCCGGGCGTCCGTTGAGCCCACCCGTGAACTGGATCGTCGGGTCGCACGAGCCGAAGTCGGCGGCCGCGTTGTTGTTGTTGTTGTTACCGTTGCCGTTGTTACCGTTACCGTTGTTGCCGTTGTTGCCGTTGTTGCCGTTGTTGCCGTTGTTGCCGTTGTTGCCGTTGTTGCCGTTGTTGCCGTTGTTGCCGTTGTTGCCATTGCCGTTGTTGCCATTGTTGCCGTTGCCATTGCCGGCGTCGGCACCCTGAGTCGGAGCGGCAATGACGGTAGTCAGCGTGCGCACGGCACCGCAGCCCGCATTGCCGTTGCCGGCATTGTTGCCATTTCCAGCGCTGTTGCCGTTACCAGCGTTACCATTGCCAGCGTTGCCATTGCCGTTGTTCCCGTTGTTGCCATTGTTCCCGGCGTCACCGCCAGCATTTCCGTCAGCAGGCGCAGCGGTGGACCCGTCAGATCCCTGGGAGGTAAAGTTGCTGAAGCCATTGGCGATGGCAACATCAGCTTGGCTCAGGCCGTCGGCGTTGAAAGGGTTCGTAATGGACGAGGCCGAGTTGGCATTTTCTACGTCGGAGCCACCAACAGCCGGGTCGACGGCGGGAACAATGCCGCGAAGCTCGGGGGTGACGGGGAGGCTGGCATCCGAGCAAATGGTGGGGATGGCGGAGGCAAAGGGGTTGAAGTTCTTCTCCGCAGCAACAAGAGCGGCAGCAGCAGCAATGACCTCGGGGTCGTTACCGAGCGTGGCGACGATCTGGTCGGCAAGTTCGAGCTACGAAGGGTTAATTAACACCGGATATCAACCAGTGAGGCTGCGTGTGCTCACCTTGGCGCACGCATTGGCACCACCAAGCAGAACACCAGGACTGGCACCAGCAAGAGTGGCGGCTTGCCCAGGGTTGCCGAAGTTGCCCAGAGCAGAGATGACGCCTTGGACGGTGCCCTCCTGGCCGAAGCGGGCCTCAGCAAAAGCCACCAGGGCAGCAAGGACAGCAACTTTGGAGTACATGGTGACAGAAAGACCTGAGAGAAATTGGGTGTGAAGTTGAGCGTCGAAGAATCGAAAACCGGCCTGGCGGTCGTAGAGAACGTAAATTAAGCTGAAAGAGTGTCGAAACGAAACGAAAGTTCACAGAACTGGACAAGAGACAAAAAAGAACGAAGGCGAACAAGGTGCTGGATGAGAGAGTAGCATAATGGATGGGCTCAGACGGCGGATCCTGAAGTTATATACAAGACTCTCCCTCTGTTGGGAGAGGTGGAGGATGATGGACGGAACACCAGATGACACGAGCCAGGGACTTGGCTCATTGCACGCGCTCCCTAATGGCGATCATACTGGCGCGTCATTGAAAGACGGCGGTGGAGCATGAGCCAAGGTAGAGGGGCAAGAGGGGCATCGTCGTTTGGTCTGGAAACGGCTGGATGTCTCCCATGCTAGGGGGAGGATCGCTTATGCCGCAAGACTGGGGTTAGGCGAGGCGAAGAGTCGAGACCTCGGGCCCAGCCGAGAGCCTCCTTGAGGCTCCCTGACGTGCGCCGCACCCCGGGATTCGACGACCGTCTGATGTTGACCCGCACAGGGACCGTAGATCCGAAGCGAGGATGCTTGTGTAGAACCTGGTCGGCGGAGGGCACTCCACAGCGCTCGCTTCAAGATGGTCCCGGGCGTTCCCCGGTGGTTCGGATGAACGTGTTGTTCTGCGTCAGCGATGGTCACTTCCAGGCTTCGACATGCCATTTCGGAGTGGGCTCGCGTGGCCAGCGCAACGACTGGCTGGGCGCATCGGGGTTGAAGGCTTCCGGGCGCTTACATGGATGTGGCCCTGTACCTGCCGCGCTGTTGTCTGCAGGACTACGAAGGAGGGCCGTCAAGAAGGTTTCAAGGAGATGCCCCTCAGGAACATACCGACCCCCAGCGTCGGCGTGAGACCCATGGGGTCCAAAGTCGGTGGCAGCTCTGTGCGTAAGTGGGGGTTTCGATTGGGGGTTCGAAAGGCAAGAAAGGCAAGAAAGGGCAGTGTTTCTCGACCGCAGACGAAGCAAACCACGGGCCAAGAGGGGCCCACCATTTCTTGTCGCATCATCTCGCGCTTGGCAAACAGTCCTGTGCGCAGCCCTGTCGTAATTGATTCTCGAAACAAACTGTCCCCTGGGTTCGAGGCGCGATAGAAGGCGAACTCAATGCCCTGCATCCTACACTGATATGGAAGTTGGGTACGTTTGAATTTGATGAATAGAAGTTGTGGTGTTCTTCAACTTGCTCTTGGCGGAATAGCCTGGGAAAAGAGCCATGTGGTCCGTGCATTTCAACTGTGAACCTCCCCGCCTCCCTACACAGTGCAGACTTGCCGCCAACCCACCTAACGGAGTTCCTACCAATTTCCATTTCGTCTGCAAGATTTTCCCCGTCAATTGTTCTTGTCTCCAAGCCAAATTCGGCAGGTACACTGCTAACTTGGTTCGGATGCAACTCGCTTCGGTATCGTGTCGCAGATCCAGCCCCTGCAGCCAGTCCCAGTCCCGCGCTTGATCGGATCGGATGCGATCAAACACGGTGTCTGGGTTGTGAGACAGAGTCGAGACGCCACGCTAAAAAAAAGCTTGGCCTTCAGCTAGCTCACGGCGTTTACACAGTAGCACTCGATGCTCCTCTCCTAATGGATATTGTTCATAATGTTGTCCCCTCTCAGCTGTCCATCGCCGCCGTCGGCGGATATTCGAGCCGGGAACCCGGCTTGCAAAGTTGAACAAGGGTTAGTGGGTCGCGGGTTATCACCTGGTCCTGGGGCCCATCACCCATCTACTTGGGCAACTTGCCAATCCACTACCTCCGAACGACCTAACGCAGCAGCATATTGCAACCAGGTTGCGTGATCCGCTTTCAGGTACCCTAGACCTCTCGGTGATCTCCCACCGTGAACGGCCTTTGGGTGGATAAAACTGCTTGGCACCCGCTCTTCTTCACCACGGTGACGGCCGGGGCGGCGGGGCAACATTGTAGCCCCTACACGTTGCGCACTTGAATACCTAAGCTGTGGAGTGCATCCCATAGACGACTGGAGTTGTTGATTACAAAGGTATGCGAACGATGCTGAGTAACACAAAATTCACTTGGAATGATGTGGACCGTGGAACAGATCGGCCCCATGGGCGAGTTGCGTCGTCATGTACACCTTGCAATGACTACAACAACGGCCGCCTCTTAAAAATGAACGTCATTTCTACATAAATCGCGCATCAACTACGTAATAAGAAGTCATCAGATAACTAGTGAGAAATACTTCAATGACATCACGATAGCGACTCTTCACTCCGCCTCGAAGACGCTAACCCCCGATCCCTCGAGTTCCTTAAAAATGCCCATGTTTCCATGGCCGTTTCCTACCAGCGAACGAGCAGCTCCAACCTTACAACGCAAGACTTTCCACCTGACAACTGCCAAGATGACATTCTTTCCCAGCGAATATAAGGTCCACCCCACCAAAACGACTCATCTCAATAATACATGTACCAAGAGTCCCCTTCAACACAGTCATATCAACCAGCTTTCGCATCCGTATCCGAAAGGCTCAAAAATCCTAGACTTACCAGACGAGCTTCTTCTCGACATCTTCGAGCACGTGGAAAATCTGGATTTCAACACTCAATGCGTTCGGTACCGCAAGCCTGGGATGGTACACATCCAAAGTGTTCGCCTAGTCTGTCAACGATTTTGCAACGTGAGCTCGCAACTGCTCGTCCAAAGCGTGCGCGTCGGATTCGACGAGTCATTGCTTGCGCGCTTGGATGAGATATCTCGCAACCGCGGCATCGCCAAGGGTGTTCGCGCTCTGCGAGTGGTCCTAGACTTCTACAACCCCTCGCTTATCAACTTCGATCGGTTCATCTCATACCAAGCCGACCGACTCGAAAAAGAGATCGAATGGCTTCGCGACGAGATAGACGTGGGGAGTGTTAGCGGCATCAGTCAACAAACGGCATCGTAGATGATTAAAAATCGACAGGCCGCCAGATCTACGGTACGTCGGCTTCTTGTTGCGTCGGGGGATCCCGACAACAGCGAATACTCTGTGGATGACCACCTCCGTCGAGTACATCTGGAGGAAGTCCACAAAAGATATCTGCTCCTTCTCGAAAAGCAGAACTCGCTGCTAAACAGCGAAAAATTCGTCGGCATTTTCAGTTCCGCAATTGCAAGAATGCCCCGCGCGCGGCGACTGGAGTTTGCAGAGCGTGATCCCGACGACCGATTAGAGGAACTCATAACTCCTGAGGGAAATGTTTGGGAAACACTGTCTCGTTTCATACTCCAGCCAATGACTAGTTATGACGCCGAGACATACGGCCTCGAGTTACCCAACTATCAATGCACTGTCGACCTGCTAGATGCTACTCGAAGAACCGGTACCTTGCCCAATACCATCCATATCAAACTATGGCTTTTGGCGTCCCCTGGAACTCTCGCGCCAGCCCCAGATGTGACGAACCTACTTCAGGACTCTGTCCTGTTAGGGTTCAGCTTCGGTTGAAGGTAATCTCTCAGACTCTCAAGGGTGCTTAGGTTCGGTGCAGCCAAAGGGTGCACAACAAAGGCTTGTCTCAACAGTAGGCTCTCGAGCTTGTACTGAACTGTAGTTGTGATTGCTAACTGGAGAACTCCCAGAGCTTTCCAGAACAAGTGACTATATACCTAGCTAATTCCTGGGTGCTCAGTCTGCTCAGTTCCGGCTTGGCAACTGAGCTCACTGATCACCCCGATCACCTTCCTGACTCCCTGATTGGTCCTTTTAATGATTGGCTCGGGGCGTCCCGCGACCCGAGGTCCCTCCTGTTGGCATATTCGTGACACCAGGCCGTAGGGAAGAGTTCTCATCTGGGATGCAGCAGCCGAAGGGCTTCCATTTCAATTATGGCGGCACTCTCGAACAGCGAGACGTGGAAGGCCTCAGCCAGTTTCTGTCTGCTTGCTTGGACACGTCCAGTTTACAAAGACTGAACTTGGATATAAGTGACTACGGGGGGAGATCGGCAACAATAGAGCTTGGGAGAGTTCTAGGGTTAAGACCCCGAAAGCAGCTGACAGACATCTCCCTTCACAAAACCAACATCGATCTTCCTATGCTAGTGGGTCTTTTTGAACAACTCCTAGAAAAGATAAGAGACCTTGCGCTAAGTGAGGTCCGCTTGTTCAATGGTTCCTGGGCAACACTGCTGGATGGGTTTCGAAAAAAGAGGCCTGACCTTGTGCTCGTTGAGAATCCGGAGGGCGCTGAGTGCGATAACATCTCACGGCGGGACTATACAAGAATATTCGATATATACTCGTGCGAGAACAACATAGCTGAGCTATACATATCAAATAAGGGCTCGGTGGAAGTTAATCCCTTTCGAACTCTCATAGGGGACTGAACTTCATATTTAAAAATCAGAATTAACATCGAGGCGTCAACGTCTGGTGCGCCTCTTGACTTAGAAAGCTGCCCTCAGACGAGGAATGAAGGGAAATTGTTCTCGTTTACGCAAATCTCTAGAAAGGTGTTGGTAGTTTTGGTTTTACATAGTTACAAGAGATATTTATATTTATCATAACGGAGTTGTTCTTATCCTGTTCCTTCCCGTCCGTATTTGTCTTTCGGTGTTGAACTAACTACATGTAGATGTAAACTCAAACGGTGCAGGCTTCCTCGGGAGAAGGGTTCGGGGGGCTAGAAGGTTGCAAAACAAGGCAAAACAATGAAGCCGACCAATGATGCCAACTACGCTACGTCCAGTCACAATGCGCCATACTTGTCTCAAAACCGACACAACTCGATGCCATCGACATTGAGAGCCGATCTTGAAAAATAGGTAGGTACCTTGCTTTCATTTACACCAAAAAGCCGAACTAGAGGGATTAAATCCAGTACCACGCCTTTCCCCAGCTTACCCCTGACCATAAGCAATCCAAACCCCCTCAACACGCATACGGACCGTTCTACAAACCGTCACCAACCCACTCCCCCCTTCCCTCCACCCCACCTCACCACCCGCCAACCACCAAACCCCACCAGACATCATCACCAATCCCCGCATTCAGCTCTCTGCCTCCCCCTGCCTCCTCCGCGCCACCGGCCTCCGCCCAGGAGACGTCTCGCGCTCCCGTTTTGTTGCGGGCTCGACACTACCCTAGAGCAGGGGTGTTAGTAGCCGTAGTACGCCTACAGCAAACCATTCCGCCCCCCCCGAGTTCGAGCCGTGAAGAGGAGCCGCAGGCGGTCAGGAGAATATTTTGCCCCACCACCACACCCCGGTTCCCTAGCAGCGACGTCGAAGACTGGTGCGCCGCCCTTAAACAACAACAGCGCCGCAGCACCGCGGAGTCCGCACCGGGGCAGCCGTGAAGCAATCGGTCCGCCTCCACCTCTCATCCCGTGCCAAGTGCCAGCATTTCGCCCCCCGGGCGGATTGTGCGGCCTGCACCTCCTGTGACTCCTCTTCCTCCTCCCGCCTGGAGTGCTAGGTACCCGTGTAGCAGTTTTTGAAGTGGTGGAGGAGAGTTTTTGCCCCCCCCCGCTGCGCCGCCTCCTCGGCGGGCGGGCGTGTTGGTGGTGGCGGGGGGCGCTCGCGTGGGGGTTGAGCCCTGGGCCTGGCGGCCCTGGGGGCCTGTGGTGGCAGTTCCGCTGGTGGGGGGAGGGGCGCGCGCGGCTGGGGGGGTTTGGGAGGACGACGAGCCCGGGGCGGGGCGGTGGGAGGTCTGGGCGGGTGGGGTTTCGCCGAAGGTGGAGGGCCTCCTCGCGCGCATTGATCTCTGGGGTGGTGTAGGATTTGCCGTCGGCGTAGGACTCGAGGGACCATTTGAGGAAGGCGACGAAGCGGGAGCCGTGGCAGGACTCGGGGAGCTTTTTGATGCAGCCTGCGAGCTCCTTGATGAGTTCTTCGCCGGTGGTGTAGTCCTTCCGGTCTTTGACGCTGTCGAAATCGTAGCGTAGAGCGCTGATGTGAAGCGTCACGGCGAGGAGGATGCGATGGATGGTGGTTACGGCCGAGGCGACCCCGGCCTGGCGGCGTAGTGCAATGGTACCAATCTTGTCGATGGGGGAGAAGTCGGTCGAGAGATTTCGGGTACCGTTTGGCCCTCCTTGCAACGCTTTGAGAAGGTCGGGCTGGGGAAACCGGCCATTGGCAGCTGACTCGATTTCATTGAAGACCCGGCCCCAGCCAGTTCGGGGGACCGCTTGGTATACGTTGGTAGCGAAGACAGTGTGGTTTGGCCGGGCATGCTCGTTCGTCCGACGCTTTGGCGGGAGAAGCTCGCAGAGGCCCGTCTCCCAAAAGAAGGCCCCTTGAGCCATCCTGATAAGCTGGTCCAGGGTATAACCGTTTTGCACGGTCGGTCCGGGTGATACGTGCACGTGGCAGCCGCAGGAGTCGTCCGTGTAAAAATCAAAAAACCTGCTAAGTCCCGTGAAAGCCATATCTATCTCCAGTTGCCACTGCTTCGATGCCGACATGGGCGGTGAGATTATCTTAACCCCCCCTATACTATTATTAGTAGATGTACCTTCAAAGCAGTTAATATGAGCCTATACATACACCATTTTCTTGGATTATCCCCCACTCGGAGCAGCTTCTCTTTCAATGTCCCCTCATATTCGCACGACCATCCGTGGTCAGGCCCGATGGCGAGATCTATAGCTGCTGCAACGATACTCTTGAGCTGGTCCCGCTGTGTGCGTCTCGCTCTAACATCGGTGGTGTCGTTGCCAAGATCAAAGTCCCAAGCCTGCCAGTAACCCGGTAGGCCATCGGGCATCACCCTTTGCCTGTGTTTGGTGAAGGCTTCAAAGTCGGATTTAACTTTGAGGTAAACTTCGATCTGAACACCGAATAGAGGCGAGGGCCGAGGTGGCGGAGCCCTGGTAGTTCTGGCGCTCATTTCGGAAAGCTAATATGCAGGTGTGGAATGCTACGAGCTAAGGGATGTTCTTACTTTGTCGAAGTACATGTAGTTGTTGATGATATCGGGAATGGTGGGGCGTTGACTGACCCCTTTATAAGCCCTACTTCGGACCTAAGGTAGTTACGCATGTTCCACTGAATAAACTACCTAATCTACCTAAAGTTCACCTCAACCGGTGCCTACAACCTCACAAAGACCTCTCGAGTACCTGCGAAGCACCGCAGGCTTACCTCGAGTAGAGCGTACGTGCAACATCCCATCAAAGTTGAAACCCTCCGGGCCTCGGACTTTAAAGTGAAACTAGGTACCACCCTTATTAACAAAAGCGGCTGCCTCCAAGACGATGAGCCACCCTGGTCTTGGGGCTTGTTGCCTGAAAAAGCTGGGGAAACAGAAGTTTAAATCCGGCTTACTCATATGAGTATGATTCATGACTCGGTATTGGGGGGTCTCGGGTGCGACCAGAACTAGCGGAGGCAACAGTGTCAGAGCCCGCCTGCGCTGCGGCGCGGCACAATAGGGGACTGGACGGGCACCCTCTGGCCAAACAAGCCGAACCCGAAAGGGGAGCAAAGAATTAGAAAAAGAATTATTATTATTATTATTTCTCTTATCACGCTAGGTACTAAGTACATGCGGTCCCTCAGCGATTAACTCGGTAGGAAAAACCATGCCTAAGCTGGATGAAAACCTCCGCACCTCCGCTGCGGCCTTGCCGCTACCCCGTGGATCCATCTCCTCGAAAGGGCTCACCCACCTTCCGAGGTCAAAGTAACGAAATAGATAAAATGAGTCGTAACCTCTGTTCCATCGATGCCCTTCTGCTACTCCGCTTCGGCCCCGCCGCGGGCCTCTTCGTTGTTCTCATTTTCCAGCTCTACCGCCAGCCGGAACTCGTTCAGCCTCCCCAGCCCAAGCACCCACCCCACCACTATGGCAGCCTTCTCCACGTCATCTAGCCACTCCAGTAGCTCTGCGCCGTCGTCTGGCCAGGGATGAGGTTTATCTGCGGCTCCGTTGCATTCGAGTACGAGGTGTTCGAATGTCTCGCGCGCCATACCGCAGCGGCATACCGGCGTTACTACCTCGGGGACCCTCCTAGTAAAGAGGAACCCTCGAAGCCCAATCTTCCCGGTCCTCGCTTGCACTAGGAGAGTACTCTTCGCCTTCGATAGCTCCCAGGCTGGGTCCCTCGACCGGTGTAGAAAAAGAAGTAGAAAAAGAAGAAAAAGAAGAAAAAGAAGAAAAAGAAGAAAAAGAAGAAAAAGAAGAAAAAGAAAAGGTAGTTAGTTAAATCAAAACAAGTAAAATAAATTAAATAAAGGAAGAGAGCCGAATGGAAACTACCTTACCTTAGACTATAGGCTTCCGGGTAACCTTCTTTGCGTTCTTCCAGTCGAAGGTTTCAAGGACAAACCCAGCCAGTGGTTAATTACACACTGTAACGGTTCCAGGAGTATATTGCAACTATCTGGTGACAACTCTACGAGTACACTAAGCTTGAAGAAGAAAAGGAAAGATGAGAGAGTCTGGCAGCTCGTGGGACTGTTTTATGATCGCGAGTGCGGTGGCCCGAGGGCATTGCTAGAATGTTCGGAGTGCTGTGGGGCAACTGGGAATAGCTTCATCCAGGGGCTCGGTGGACTGTGCTTGTACGTGAGCTGGCCGAGGGTTACCGCGACCCACCTCGGGCACAGCCCGTTACAGTGCAGGAAAGAAGCGGACTGGGCCGTCATACTTTGAAAAACACTCGGAAAGATGCGAGCAAACTTGCGTCCCTTGGACCAGTTGAGAGGGTTCTCAGGATCGTTCTCGGCCCAGTCGATAACGGTCACGTTGTTTTCCATTTGCGCTGTCGGTAGCCCTTGCGGTTGCTGTGGCGGGGGCGCTGGCGCTGGCTCAAGACCACCGGCACCTGCGAGAGCTGATGGGGGCCGGCCGTGCTAGGCGCGATGGCCGCTTGTTCTGGGGCTGATGGCGCGCCCGATGGTGGGTTTACCAACTGCGGATTACTTTTGGTCGATGTTTCGTCTGAGGTTGTGGCTTGAGCCAATCCAACTTCGGATTCAGTTCCAGATGGTCTCCTGGAACCGATCTTTCTGGATCGGTACTCTGGAGTTCGATGTCGGTTCGAGAGCTCCCAGGTCCAGACTGGGCCTCTGAGGCCCTACCCTGGCCACCTCCAACCGCCTGGTCACCCCCGACCCGCTGATTTTCTTTATCGGATTCCATTAATGTCATCATCCTGCTTTTGTGCCCTGGTCTTAATATTGTTCTGCTGATTATTGTTCTGGAATTGTTAGCTGGAACTGGGGAAAGGCAGCTGTACCATGTACGAACCTTGAAATACCTCACAGAAGTTTGCTAGGATGCAGAGAGCTGCGAATGAGAATAATGACGAGGCAAAAAGGACAAAAAAGGCGGAAACTTCAAACCGGAGGAAATACACGGAGAACTGGGAGCCACGGGAGTTGGGTAGTACCTACCTTGCGTCTGTAACCGGGAAGCTTCGCACTAGCCTGGTTGCAAGGGCCGTGGCGCCTTCCCATGGTGATAACACAATGCCTACTTTGTTTTATTTGACTCGGTTTCTTTTGTTTAATTCATCTTGCCCGCCCTTTTTTTACCTCTTCTTTTTCGTGTTTTTATTTTAACTACCTCTTTTTTTTTTTTCTTGATTTCTTGCTCCCCTTTCGAGTTTGGCTTTTTTTGGCCAAAGGGAGCCCAGACAGTTGGGACGAGTGGTGATCACATCAATATTGGCGGTGGGATCAGGGAAACAAGTTCTGCTTTAGTAGGTAAGAGACAAACCTCACCTGCTTCCACAATCAGAAGTGCCCATTAACTGTTTAAGGTGGCTTGGGTAGAGTCAAGTACCTAGGTACCTTATGTTACATCCGTTCACATGGACATTGATGTCACTCCTTTCTGCTATCTGCTATACATTGCGCAAGAAAATGTGCCAACCTGCCTATCTAGGTCGTCAAGTCGTGCTAAATCACTTTCGACCCTAACTCGAGTGCGCGATGCATTCGGAGAGTTAGGTGTTTTATAGAGCATGTGACATGGCTAGGAACACTTGCTGTTGAAAGCGGAGTCTCATGACCCTGGCAGCCTCGGTTAACATCACCCCGAGCGGATGATCGGAAAGACACGGGGCACCAGTGGAAGATGGAAAAAGGGAGCAGGAAATGCGCAAAAAATTGCTGCGACATGCTGCACTAAACCTATACAACTGGTTTTAAAGCGTAAACGTGCAAAGCATCACGGCAAAACCCAAAACGCCACCCATGAGACCACCCGATTGAAGAATCCGGAACCCGGTAGATCGCCGGGACACGAACGACCGGCCCACCGTATCTGAGCATGGAAAGCTCTTATTCCACCCGGGGCGATATCAGTTCCGTCTTCCCAGCGCTTTGTCTGTCATCTGCAGATTCCGGCTCTACCGAGTCCGCTCGAACCAGCCGCTGGAGCCCGCAATAGCAACAGATTGGTCCATCACCCACTCGCCGACGCCGAGATACTTGTCCACCCACTTCGTCATCTCCTTGTTGTCTCCGGAGACCTTATCTGTCTTAAAACTAGGCCTTGACAAATCCCCGGAAGCGGGGGGTAACGATTAGCTGCACTGTACGCTGTCGCTGTGCGGTGTACTGATCGTCGGGACAACGGGGTCGGGACAACGGGATCGGGAGAACGGGGTCGGTGAATCGAGGAATTTACTCACGTCAAGCCGGTCGAGCGCTTCATTCCCGCCAGGAATGCGGAGACTGGGAGGTGAACTGTCAGTTGGGCAACTCGCGCACCGAAGGGCGGTGTGAGGACGACTTACACAGAACAGCGTCGAAGGCATAATGGGTCAACCGTCCAAGCTTTGACCATAACCCCAACGTCAGCAAGTCGAGGAACTGGGAGCGATCTTAGACTCCGAAACGACGACAGGGCCGCAGCAAGCGACCCCCGACGAACGAGCGCCGGGAAGGGGTTGCACCCACCACCATCTTGCCGATTAAATGCGATGATTTATTGCGATAGTTTCTTGGAATTTCCCGAGACCGAAATCGCCGTTGAAGCGATATTTTTCTGAGGCGAGTGGCAGGAATGGGTTGCGACGCGAGGCCGAGTTGGTCGGTGATGCTGGTTGGTTTTCGAGGCGGCGAGGTGGGGAGACCGGGACGACGAGGCCACCCAAGAGGCGGGCAACCGATCACAAGACAGCACCCTCGCCAAGAAATTGAAACCGAGCTTGGGCCATTAGATCACGTGGAATATCACGGGAAACCAGCCTTCCGCAACAGGGACCAAAAACAGTCCACACCGGGCACTGAGTGGGGCTTATCCGATCTGGATAAGGCACCAGGGTACCTTGAATGCTGAGGGCCAATGCCTTGGTTCAAGAACTGTTCGAAGTCGAATCAGGTGCCACACCGGCATGCGGATTCGACCCGAAGCGAGGATGCATAGTCAGCACGCATGTGGCCAGCACGGGGGACGATACCGGCTCTCGTGTGGTGTGAAGGAGTTTGATCGGACGTACCTCCTGGCCCATAATTTCTGACCGCCCACGTCGGAGAGGGGCGCGAAGGTGGGGGGACCCCGCCGTGGGATGTTGGGAAAGCTTTTGGGAAAGCTCCCCTCCAAAAGGGGTGGGAGCATTGGGTTGTCGAGAACAATTTTTCGCGCAGAGAACCAATTTCTCCATCTCTCGCCGCCTTTGATTCCCATCGTCTCCCCCCGTTCCCTGAGGTTTTCGGTCCATCGCCTTTCTTTCGGTGAGTTTCTCTATTTCCTAGCCTCCCGGACCTCTTCCTCGTTGTTTGTCATGTCCCGATGGCGGGGCGCTGTTTCACTTCTGCCTCGTCGCGGGGCGGAGGAAAGCCACCCTCGCCCTGCCGCGGGGACCGATTCAGCTGGGCTTGAGGAGTTTTCCGTGCCCGCCTGGTTTTACGTTCCTCTTTATGTTTCTCTTACTCTCAAGCCGGGCAATCCGCGAAACGGCTCCCTCTTCCTTCCCCAAGCGCTGTCGGCTCCGGAGTCGGAGATTGCTAACTAGGTAATCTTCCCAGACCTCAAAAACACAGATCCTCCCCCCGAGAAACTTCGTGGTCGTTATTCCGATTTTTCGCGACTTGCCAACCATTAAACAATGGCGACCGCTCTCGACCATCTCCAGCTCGGCGGCAAGATCGAATGGCTGTCGCAGCTTGACACGGCCTACCAGCCGGAGCGCAACCTGCGCCGGACTTCGATCATCTGCACCATCGGCCCCAAGACCAACTCGGTCGAGGCCATTAACAAACTTCGCGAAGCTGGCCTCAACGTGGTGCGGATGAACTTCTCCCACGGTAGTTACGAATACCACCGTACGTATTCAGCGCCCAGCGCCGATCTTAGGCCAGGGTCTTGGTGGATGCTCCGGATCCGCTCAACAGATCCGGCTCCACCAACACGGCCCGTCCTATCCGCAGCGCATATCTTGGCATATTGAAGACGGACCGTTGACAGTTGTGTTTCTGCAGAGACCGTCATCGACAATGCCCGTGAGGCCGAAAGGGTTCAGAAGGGCCGCCAGGTCGCCATCGCCCTCGACACCAAGGGGCCGGAGATCCGGACGGGTAACACTACCGACGATGCGGATCTCCCCATCTCGGCCGGCGCCATCATCAACATCACCACCGATGAACAATATGCGACGGCTTGCAGCACCGAGAACATGTGAGTCTTCTTTTCTTCCTTTGGTTGCCCTAGGCTAACCGCTGGTAGGTACGTCGACTACAAGAACATTACCAAGGTGATCGAGCCTGGGCGTGTCATTTACGTGGACGACGGCGTGCTGGCGTTCGAAGTGCTCGAGATTGTCGACGAGAAGAACATCAAGGCGCGGGCGCGCAACAACGGGTACATCTCGTCCCGCAAGGGCGTCAACCTGCCCAACACGGACGTCGACCTGCCCGCCTTGTCTGAGAAGGACAAGAACGACCTCCGGTTTGGCGTCAAGAACAATGTTGACATGGTTTTCGCTTGTGAGTTTCGACGGCTCTCTGAGGCTTGGATATTTCGTTCTCGTGGAATCAACTTGGCTGACACTGCGACACAGCTTTCATTCGGAGGGGCAAGGACATCCAGGATATCCGCGAGGTCCTTGGTGAAGAGGGCCGCCACATTCAGATCATCGCCAAGATCGAGAACCGCCAGGGTCTTAACAATTTCCCCGAGATTCTCGCCGAGACTGATGGTGTGATGGTCGCCCGTGGCGACCTTGGTATTGAGATTCCCGCCGCCGAGGTGTTCGCGGCCCAGAAGAAGATCATTGCCATGTGCAACATTGCCGGCAAGCCCGTCATCTGCGCGACCCAGATGCTCGAGTCCATGATCAAGAACCCCAGGCCTACGAGAGCCGAGATCAGCGATGTCGGCAACGCCGTCACTGACGGCGCTGACTGTGTCATGGTACGTTGAGCGATTGCGACTTGTCCTGGTGTACGCTAACACCACTTCCTAGCTTTCCGGCGAGACGGCCAAGGGTGTCTACCCCAACGAGGCGGTCCGTGAGATGAGCGAGGCTTGCCTCAAGGCGGAGAACTCGATCCCGTACGTCAGCCACTTCGAGGAGCTTTGCACCCTGGTCAAGCGGCCGGTGCCGACCGTCGAGTCGTGCGCCATGGCTGCCGTCCGCGCTTCGCTCGACCTGAACGCCTCTGCCATCTTCGTGCTCTCCACTTCTGGCGAGTCGGCCCGCCTGATTTCCAAGTACCGGCCCGTGTGCCCCATCATCATGATCACCCGCAACCCTTCTTCTTCCCGGTACGCTCACTTGTACCGTGGAGTTTACCCGTTCCTCTTCCCCGAGGCCAAGCCAGACTTCACCAAGGTCAACTGGCAGGAGGATGTCGACCGCCGTATCAAGTGGGGGCTCAGCCACGCCATCGACCTCAACATTCTCACCGAGGGCGAAACTGTGGTGGTTGTGCAGGGCTGGAAGGTAGGCTTTAATCCCCCAACTTATAACTTATTACGCGTCATTAACTCAGACGGCCACAGGGCGGCATGGGCAACACCAACACGCTGCGGATTGTCAAGGCTGATGTCGACCACCTCGGCATTGGTCAGCTCTCTTGATCTCGTTTGTTCGTATCTGGGTCACAGGGGTTCCGGGACGGTAACTTTTTGTCAACGAAAGGGTCGCGATGACGGCCTCACAATAGATCTGTTTGCTGCTGGTATGACACTGCACCGTTTCCCGACTGCTTGGGTGCTGCTCGTTGTTGTTTTGACATGGCTATTTGTACCGACCCTGTTATGGTCTGGCGCTTTGAGGTCCCGTCCTGGAACTTTACCCAATTACGATCTTCTGTCCGGCAAGTATTAGTCGTTCTTGACCCACAAGACTTGTTGGTGAGAGGCTGCGTGACGTTGACAATCGTGTGGGTCTGTGAATCGCCTTGTGACCAATCATACCACAACTATCAGCCGCACCTGCTCATGCAACGCACATGGCATGTGCTCGTGGACCTTCCTCCGGAACACAACTCTAGGCACCTTTCCTCTCTCAATGTCTCTTGGAAGAATACACTAAACGTTGCATTATCACTACCATACACTGCCTCGCCGCTATTCTGATATTCTTTGTCTCTACATCTGTACTCGCCATCGCTATCGTCATAACCACTGTACCGCATTTTGTCCTGTTTCTTGGCGACCCAACCTCTTGGCACACTTGGAAATGGTGTCATCGCCAACACACGAATTATTTGAAGCACTCGAGCAATTTTAGTCTGCTTTGGATATTGCTGTAATGTCAGATAAACTCTCCTACCTCCCCCGTTTGGGGTTTTCCCGCGTCGAGGGACCGATTCTCCCGTTGCACAACCGAACGAGTCCTCCGATCCGCAAGAAGCCGAGCGAGTACGCCTTGTCCGATCTCTCCTCCCGTCCGGAGGATGGACTCCTATCCTCCTCCCCCGAAAACGATCGCAAGGGGTTTTATTCTCCCCGCCGGAGTCCCTCTCCATCTCTTAGATACAGCGACAAGTTGAGCGACGGTGGTTCTTCTCGGCCGAAACAGAAGCAACAGCCGTTGTTCGCGGGGCCCCCGCCCCCGATCGCAACCTCACAAATGCTCTACCGCGATGAGGAGGACAGGGACTCATCACCGACAGCGCCGCAACATTTAGAAGCATCATCATTCGCCCACAACATAAACAGCGTACTATTTGACCGCAGCTCTTCCTCGCACAACGTCACTCGAAGCAGAGACTACGACCCCAAACCAAACGCTATCTGGCTGAACCTTCAACGCCGCGAACGCGCCCTCCAAAAAGAGCTCCAACACCTCCTCGACGCCCAATCCACCGGGCTCGCCGCCAACCTCGAACCACACCCCACAAACCCCAACAGCACCCCCTCAGACGCGAGTGACGCCGGCGCTCGGAGCATAACCCCAACCAACACCACATCCACCGCTCCTTCCTCTCGCGGGACGTCGACGCGGCGGCACGTCCTCTTCAGCGACCAACTCCCCGCCGCGCCCCGCACTCTCACATCCTCCGGCACGCTGGTGCCCGTGCGGCAGCCGCGGGTGCGCCCGCCCAGCCTGCGCGAGGCGCGCGCGG